ACTAAGGTACTGAAAACTGCAGAGATGCTTTTAAAAATATGACTAAGACACTTGGAATTCCCAAATCTTTGTTCTCACTGACTGTATACATTGGGCTCAAAGGTTGTGGCTGGCACAGCTTCCTTTTTCTGTTTTATATCTGCAAAACATACAGCAATTTTAGTGCTGTCTTTTCAGAGAAAGTACGTGGAAAATGATATATATTTGGAATATGTGTCCTTTTTTTTTATTTTATTTTTTTAAGGAGGAAGTGAATTATTTTTCTTAATAAGTACCCTGTGGTTTTCAAGTGAAGGCACTGTGCCACCACTGGCTTTGGTAGGACCTTGTAAAGCCAGGGTGTCCTGCTGCCAAGTTGGAATTATAAAGTATTTGTTGGGACTTGCATCTTCCAGGAGCAGCAGAGAAAGGGAGTCTGGGTCTCTCAGACACGCCTTGCTGACTTTTCATCCCAGATCTATCCTCTGCAGGCTGGGCTGGTTGTTGCCTTTGATCTTTGCTGCCTTCCACATGCACTTTTTGGTAAAACTTCACTACTAAAATTCACTTTTTCAACAGAAAACATGACAGTTGCATGACTTGTTGTTATTTTTATTTTATTCTTTTGCATGTTTGTAACATTCACTTAGTGTAATCTGGCTTATCCGTACATCTTGGAAAGTGAGGATTTGCTGTTAGTTTTGGGAAGAATTGTTACAAAAAGGGTGAGAAAAAAAGGGTCTGCCCCTTTTATAAATCTGTCTGCATACTTGCTAGTATATACTAGTATAATTGCCCACTTTGGTGTTTGTTTTAATACACTGAAGGCCTTTTTTTTTTTAACCTTATTACAGCTTAATGTAGATGGTTGTAAGTGAGCTTGGCAAGGCTGGATGCATGCAGTGGGTAGTGGGTTAGGCCTGAGACTTCAAGGGGATGAAAGACACCAGGGTGGGCTTTGCCTCCAGGCTTCAATTAAGATCAAGGCTTGTTAGTAAGATTCCTACTATAAAGGTTGTTGACTGTCTGCTTCCTTCTGTTTCTCCTCATTTTTCAGCTGGTGACTGTAGTAAATAAGCCTGACAAGGGTTGTTCCTTATCGTGGATTCCAGATCTCCTGTGGCAAATCTTCCATATACTGTTGTCCCCATGGAGCCTGACAAGCTCAGAACTAATTTGTTTTTGGTTCTTTGGTTTGGGGTTTCTGTTTTTTGGGGGGGACACACACAATTGCACAAAAAAGCATGTGCATGTTTCCAATCGTGCTGTGGCTGCCATGAAGCAGTGGGAAGGCAGCAGTGCAAATGGGAGCCATGTGAGCCTCGTCTCTGCGCTTGGGCCCATGATCTCCTCATCAAATGTTGCCATGGAGCACTGAATTTCTTAAATGGCCCACTTACCCCTCTGTGCAAAGTCAGAAAATCATTCAGTCTCTTCCTCATATCCAAGTGCTAATTTTTGTTTCATGTCTTTTATCTCCAAGACAAAATTGCATTATTGGCGAAATTGTAACCCATGTGATTTTAGTACAGAGTAAAGTTAAACAAAAGAGCAAGTAAATATTACTCAGGGTGCATGTAATACAAAAATGTCTTAGCCCCCTAAATTGCATTAGGGAACAAAGCTCTTTCTAATTTATTTTTCTTCTTTGGCTTCCAGATTTATCTGTAAGTTCCACATGAAGGTTATTATTGAACTATGCTTCATTGTCAAACAAGTATTGTGGCCAGAAGAGCGGGAGGATTATTGTGAGATGGGACAGGAAAGATGCTGTGTTATTTGTCTTCATGTTTGTTGGCCCAGCCATGTTCCTCCAAAAAGAAATGCGAAAAGAGGAACTCCCTATTGGATCAGTAGTAGTTCTAAGATTAATGGAGTGAGAGTTGAGGTTTTTGTCAGGTATTTTAATGTTCTTACTTCTGAAGTATAGGAGTTAATGGAATTTTAAATTAACACGAGAGAATATCAATTTGTATGAAATATATCACTGGAAATATGCATAAATATAGGCATTATCTTATTTCCTTCTGTTAGAAAATGTGGTAATAGCTAGTTTTAATCTTTAAAAGCAATCTTGAGCTTTTCTTGACTGGTTTAAATCTCCAATTATCTACTTATGAGAACATGTAGCATCTCCTGAATAGTACCTCTTCCTTGATTATGAATTTACTATTAACTTTCTTCTGATTATTAGGTTATGATCTGTAGTTTGGGCAGTGTCAGAAGGAAGCAAACTGCAGACTATAATAGCAGTGTGTGGTCTTCTATTCTGAACTCCCTGTGGATAGCTCCCATTTTTCCTCAGCAAGAAAGCACTTAGGTTAATTGCTTCATTTCAAAGACATAGTGGCTCTTTCTGGTCTGTAAGTAGCCTTCCAAGCATAGCTGCTGAGGTTTGGAGCACCTGCAGTCCGACCAATTTGGGGAAAAAAAAAAATAAAAGCCATTAGTCTGCATGGGGAAAAAAGAAAAAAAATGAAGTGGTGAAGTTCAGAATATTATCAATGATGCTGTGTTGGAGCAGCCTGAAAGATTTGGCTTTTGGTGTATGCCTGGTGCTATCCAAAACAACATATAAAATTCTTTGTGGGCCCATTTTAAGAGTGTCTTGTTCATTCAGAAGGGCCTGTGTGCACTGTTTGTTCTGAGGGCAGAGGCACCAGCCAACAGCCGATTCCTCCTCAGAGGGAAACATTGCCTAATGGCGCCCACGGGCGCCAAGGAGCACGGGGACAAAGTGCTAAAGATAAACAGCTCAATCCCCGACTGTTCAAAGGCCTCAATAAAGCCTCTGATTTACACATGTGGGGTGGGACCCTGCTGTCCCCACCTGCAGGCTGGCCCCGGGGCCCTGGCGTGGAGAGGGACGGAACACTGCCTTTCTGTGGCCCCAAGGCCTAAACTTGCCCGCGGCTTTGCTTTGTCACAGCCAGGGCAGGGAGAAGGAGCCGACTGCTCTCATTTTGTGGGGGTGGTGAATGGGAACGGCCCACAGGGGCTGGGGGCTGAATGGCACTTGAGGGTGCTCCTCTGCTCTGATGGACTCTGAGGGGCTTTTTAGGCTGCCATAGTGAGAGGCTGCTTCCAGTAGTTTGGGTAGCAATAAAAATACAGTCTACTTTTGTGCAATGATTGTATTTTACTTTGTTTTAACAAGCTTCACCAACAGCTGGGCTGCCAAATGGTGACACTTCAAAAATTCAGGGGGCTGTTTTAACCTTTCTGAGCAGAAACACAGTTCCTACCTTTCTGCCCCAAAGATCTGAAAGAGAAAATAAAGTTTCACCTCTTTTATAGTTTTGTCTTTCTTTCATAAGGAAATTTTTACCTGGCAGAAGTATTGTGAAAGGTACATAAGCTTGACACACTGGAAACTGATGGAGTGATGAATTTAGTGGGTAGGTGGGTGCACTGAGACAGGTTAGTTTGAGGAGATTGTTTTATTTCATCTCTTGAAATACAGAGCAATGCATCTTTTTTTGGGAATACAGTGCTGTACATCTTTATTAAGATTTGTCTTTAGAATGAATGAAGTGCATGCAGTCACCTTATAGTGAATGAATAAGGAATACACCCTCATTTATTGTCTGTATTTTCAATTTCTTTAGTGGTAACTGGTAGTTGTTAAATAAGTAGGGAACTCCTTTGGTCTATTTTGCTGTATTTATGCTTGAACTGTGTGTGGTTTGTCCATTTACTGAACACTGCAGTCAAGACTGTGTTCTCAGGACATAAAAGGGATAAGGGGAAAAGGGATTTGGATTTTTAGTTAGTTGTTGTAATTGTTTTGCTTTTAAAAAAGCAGTAAGGTACAGCATTACTGTTTGCAGGGATGTTTTTTTGTGCTGTGTAGGTCAGACTAATTTTCATGGAGGTGGTTTTACCCACCTCTTGAAGAGAAGCATATAATAGGCATTGTACACAGCCAGGAGTCCTTGAGCTTTTGCTGATGGGTTGGAGGAGTTGAGTGCTTTGGAGATGGAGTCTGGCTGAGTTCTTCCAGAGGCACATCCTAAACGTGGACTAATAAGTAATACACTGCTTTCAAAAGGACAGTGAGCACTGTGGAGGAGATGAAAGCTGGGAGAAAAAGCGTCTTCATTTTATGCTTCTTTTGAAAATGCTGTTTTTCAGAGCTGCACAATAAAATGTGGAAAAGCAGGAAAACTGTATTTTCCATTTGTTTTGAAGTTCAGGGTATTATTCTTGGTTGTGTCTCCTCGTTCTGTTGTGTTGTGTTTTACCACAGGGGTACCAATAGTGCTGCCTAAACAGAACTTTCATTTTTAGCTGTGCTACATCACTGTAATGAAATACTGATGTGTGCATGGGAAACTAGTATCACTATATCAAATGAATTTAGTCTCAGGCCTCAGAGACCTTGTTAGTGCATCTTTAAATAAATAAACAGGCTTTTTTTCCTCTGATACTCTTGACCTCACTTTTTCTGACTCACACTTCATTCGCTTCGTCGTTACATAAATAAAAACTGTAATTCTGTTGCTTTGTTTTTTGTTATAAAAAGTCTGGGTTGATAAGAAAGCCTCTAGTGCAGGTATTTTTCACTTAATGCTGCTCTCCTTCATGATAAAAATCACATAAAATAAGCAAAACCTTCCTGGTGAACTACACATATATGCCTCAGTACCCTATGTGCTGTCTGTTCAGGTTGTCTGGTGCCGCAGTCTGGTACTGCTTTACAGTCTTTAATTGAAATATTTTTAAAAACATTGTCTTTCAGAGGAGGAATTCTTTGAAAATATTTCACGAGAGACTGTGTTTTAACATAATTAACAAGCAGCAAAAGGGAATCTGGCAGGCAGAGGAGAGTGCATGCATGTGTGCTTGAGCCTGCATTGCTTGTGTTTCCTGCTCTGTGCTCATTACTGACCCAGGGCCAGGCAGTTAGTGCCCCACAAATATTTAAAATGCCTTAATTTCTGGCCTTAATTTCTTAATTGCAAAGGTGTTGTTCTAGCTGTCCACACCCAAATATTTAATTTTTTTGTTCTTGCTCACAGGTGCACAGACACACTGTAGATTTTCAGAAATGGCCAGCTGGTTAGTGATGGAACTAGAAAACTTCTTTCTTTTTTTTTTTTTTTTTTTTTTTTTTTTAACTGAGATTAATTTTTCAATGTATGTTTTGGTAATGTTTTCATTTCTGTTGGATTTTCAGGGAATAGAAAGGTGGAGTATGACATCTGTAATAGTAAATGCCATTGTGGTTAAGGGATGTAAATACTAAAGCTTTATGCTTGAAAACCAACACTTAAATTCATATATTTTGCTGCTTTTGATAGGCATTTTGAAATGTTACTGAGTGCAGAGTTGAGCAACGGTTAGGAACAGTTTAGTCAACTGCAGTTAAAGTTACTTCTTCTAACCTTAAAATGCCTATTTTTGGGGGAAGCCAAGGTAGTTAAATCTGTACCTAGATTTATTTCTCCATGTCCAGGAGCAAAGAAAAAGCTTCCTTCTACTCCTGCTTGGAGAGCAAAGTCCCTTCAGGGCCTGAACTTATCCTGGTTATGATTATTTACTGCTGCACTTCAGATGGAAACCTCCACAGAGCATTTAATCCCTGCCCAAGCACCATTGTACTGAGTGCATGTCGTTTAAATTTAAATGCCTCATCTGGGTTTTTCTTCCTTTTACAAGCTATTTTTAGTCTGCGAGTGACCATGTAGCCTTTTCTCAGTCACTTCACTTAGGTTATGTATAAATACATGGGATTCTTGAGAAGATCTTAAGTCAAACACAAGTTGCCAAGTTGCTTTCCCATAGAGCAGAAATGTTCCCTGTAACATCATGTATTTTGTTCTCTGCAGAATCCAGTGCTTAAGATACTTACGTTGGGTTGCTGGCATTTGCTGTACCCTCTGCTTTGCTGTGAAGCTTAGTAGCAGCTTTCATGTGGCAGTCTTCCAGATGAATATTGATTATTTTGAATTATGTTAAATATTCTGTACTTTGGGTGATAGCAGGCATTGAGTTAAAAACATGGGGAAGAGCTTGTGTGTAGTAATTTCCTGTCCCCCAGCTTCCTGACAGCTTCTTAATTTGAGACCATTCAAATATGTTTACTTGTTGGCACTGAAACCTTACGTATTATAATCCAGTTTCCTGTTTGTAAGTATCACCAGTTCTCTGACAAAGTGAATTTGGGGAGGAAAGTAGAATAAAATTACAAGCATGCTTGTATTTGTATATTCCCCACACACACAACCCCTAAGCTAGTTATGCAAAGCTGTAAATCACCCCAGTGGTTATAACAAGATTATCTTGCTTTTTAAACAGGTGTTGGGAAGATGGAGAAGACTTTGAACAGAATTCATCCAGTTTCTGATCCAGAAGCAACCTATTTTCTACAGGTGTCATGGGAAAAGGATTTAGGCACTGGCTTTGGTTTACTTCTCAGTGACTGTCAGTGTGCCTGGACTGGGACAGGTAATGGAAAGAAAAATGCATTAATTTAAATTATTGCTGCTCTTAATTGCTCCTTTTAAAACACTTTCTAAGCTGTGTCCTGCAGCTTGTGTGGAAATTCCAGGGGCGTTTTGTCCCCAGTGAGGGAGGAGGTGGGGTTCATGATCTTCTGGGATGTGGCCAGAGAACTTTGAAATCTGGAGAGATTGTGTGTCAAAGCTAAAACTAATCCATTCAGCACGTGGATATGCAATGTTTTGTTCTTTCTCAAGAATGTATAATTTCTTGGAGTGATGCTGAAGTAACACTTTTGTGTGTTCTCCAGATTCTCGAGCAAATGTGTACACAAGTTCCATTTGCAAATTGGAGTCCATAAAGCCTTTAATTGCAGATGTTTTTTAAATATTTTCATGGAATTCAAATAGACAAAGGTAGCTGAATTTTGTGGTGAAGTGAATTTTTGGGAAGGCAAAGGGACAATAAATTATCAGTAGGAAAAACTTAGCCTGTGGGATTCTTCCCCTCCCCCAAAACCACCATAAGAGGATGGGTCTTTGCATATGTGCATGATTCTCTCATGCCCAGTTAGATTTGTGTGTTCCTTGAGAAGTGTCAAACACTTGATCAAAATCCCTTCTCGCAGTAGCAAAAATATTTCAGAGGGCGAAGAGAATTATGTATTTTAAGCAAATTGTAGGCAAAGCTATTTTCTGGACACCTTGTCTGAATGATAAGAAGTATCTATGTAGCTCCTTTCCTCCTTCCTTCTCCTTACCCAGTGGGTGTTGTTCTTCCTCAGTTCCTGCACAAGCCAAGCTTTCATACAGGTCTGAGATTAGATAAATGTAAATTAAAATCAGTACATAAATTAAATCTGCTCTTCCATATTCCTGTTAGCATTTCAAATGCTCCATTGATCAGGGCTTCCTGCATGAAGCACATACACGTATTACAATACTGATTCCTGGAAATGAAAGATTTTTCTTTCTTGCCTTGACAGGAATAAAGTCAAGTTATTTTGAAAACAAAAAAAAAAGGTTGTTAACACTGACAAATATTGTTTTTTCTGTTTGAAGGATCTTCTCATTCTTATGTGACTTCAGAAATCCCCAGTTTAGAATTTACAAAAAAGATTATTCTTATTTCTGCAAGTGAAGGCTTTGCCACTGTAGCTGGTAGCGTATAGAAAAAATAGGTGGACACAGTTCTCATTTTGTTGAGTTCCTGCATCTGGCAGAACGGAGGATAATGATTTCTCAAAACAGAGGGGCAGTGAAAGCAGGATGACCTCACTCCATTAACAAGGAAAGAAAGAAGCCCACAATAGTTCTGCTGTGAGCATTGGGTGCTCATCCAAAGTAAAGTTTTTTTCTCTTCTGGAAGAATCTGATCCCTTTCTAATAAATTATTACTGAATTTTTATTTCTATTCTTAACTGAATTTCTGAATTTCTACTGAATTTCTTCTATTCAGTCCCTTGAATAATTTCATTGGGGGTTGATGTTGTTGTGCCTGAGGCTTTCCTACTGTACTGATCTGTGCTTTCGTTCAACAAAACATTTTGGTCACTTTCTAAAGTTATCCCATCATTTTTGAGGCTGCTTCCATTTTAAATTCAAAACGTGGAGGGAGGGAAAGCAACGGTCAGAATATTCCTGCTGTGGGAAATCCCTTTTGGGTTTCTCATGCTGTGGATTATTTTCCTTGGCAAGACCTACCAGGGAGAGAGTGAGAGCTGCTGATGGAGTTGTCTTTTATGGGTTTTGTATGTTTAATGTGATGATGAAATGTGTTAGGAGTCATGTTTAAGGAGAGAGGGAAAACAGGGAATGTTAGAGGGGAGGAGAAGCACACAAATACACAATGTAATCTAGTGTGTTACCTTGGTATTGGGTTAAAGAAATACATCTGTGAGGATTTATGCATATCATATTTCCCTAATAATTGATCAGTTCTACTGGTTTTAAATCATAAAGAAACATGCAGCATATACAGGGAAAAAACCCCAAAACCCAACAAACCCACAGTGCTCTGTTCCAATATTATAGTGTCTTTCTTTTTATTACTTTCTTACTGTTATTAGAAGTTTATCTTCTCAGTATTGAAATTACTGTTCCAGCCACCGCTTCCTTTATAAATACTTCAGACTTTCCTTTTTCTACTCCTTTTTGTCTTTTTGCTGCAAGGGATTCCACATTTCACTCTGTACTGTTTTGGGTGATTTTAGGCAACTAGAATTGTGGATCAGTAGCAATAAGGAAATAATCAATTTTCAAATGGGGAAAAAAGGAGACAGAACTTCTGAAAACCCCAGTATTCCTGCTACATTTCCACTAGTGGAAGCGATACACCAATGTGTGTTCAAGGGAAAAATAATCTTCTAATATTCCATGGAATCACAGAATTATAGAATGCCTTGGGTTGGAATGGAACTTTAAGATCATCTAGTCAGTGTGTGTCTGTATATATATATATGTAAATATTTTTTTAAATTATATATATCAATATATATATATATATATATACTTTAGGATATATATGTCTTGCACTATGTGTGTATATATATGTATCGTAAATATATAAATACAGTATTTTATATATATGTATGTAAATGTAGATTAATCAATGCTTTGTATATAATGCATAATGCACATGTTCCCACACATATGGATATTTGTTCCTCACATGTTTTTTTCTGGTAGTGTCTGAATCAGACATTTCTAGGGAGGCTGCTGACATAGAAATGGAGAGAGAAAAATATGTGGAAGAGCTGAGGAAAGCGCTGATAGCTGGAGAAGAGTCAGCTGGCAAATACAACTTTGTGATTTCGAGGGATGAGCAGAATAAGGCCTGTCACTTCTCCTATGAAAGGAACCTGAAAGACGGCTCTGTAAGTAGATAAATGTTTAAATTTAACTGTTAAACCACGAGAATGAAATACATTTTTGTATTTTATTATGGTCTTTAAAATCAGATGTGTGATACTCACTCCAGATTGAATGAGGGTTGTGAGCTCTTGCATGGGCCAATCTAGAAAGAAAGTGAGTGGTTTGGGGTGGATGCTGCCGTTTTCAAATTGTATCCTCTTGTGCACTCTTGTTTTCCTTTTTTTTTTATCCTCTCTGTGTACTACTCACCTAAATTAGAAAAAAAAAAATCAGGCAAGATTATTTTCAAATGCTAAAACATAGTTTTAAAATTAACTTTTCAACTACTTTAGATATTTTGGAAGTTAAGGTTGAAATTGTTGCATTAAATTGCAAATGGGAAAGTGATTCCATGCTGCTTGCTTGGCTGCAAAGGAAAGGACCCTCTTAAAACAGGAAAGAAACCAGTATTATTTGTATCTGTAGGCACTTCTGGATGTTTCAGGGTGGGCTTTGCTGTGTTAAAACTTTTCTGAAGAAGAAGCTAACTTTAAGGTGAATATCCCAGTACTTATTTTTTTAAAATTCTTTTACATGCCCTTTTTCTTGTGCAGTATAGGAAATTTCAGGTGAGTTTGGCTCTTGAGGAGCCAAAAGTTAGGGCATGTAAGTCTTCCAGTCTGCATTATAAGTATTTCTGTGAATTTACCCAAGGCCATACTGACCCTAAACCTTGTGAGCTGTTTGATTGTTCACAAAGATGTTGAAAGTTTAGGACCAAACTGTACTCGGAAATTGAGAGCTTTAAGATTAAGAATCCTTTTTTCTTTTTGTTTCTGCTCTGTGTCACACATGTTCTAAATGCAAGCCGGATTAAATACATTCTGTATTTTTATTAAGTAAAAACATCCTTGTGTTTGTGGGGTCACTTAATACATGTCTGCATCAATTAAGGCTTATGAGAAATTTAACTTGTATGAAAACAACTTTATGTCAATTTGGGAAAATAATAATCTGGCCAAAGAAATTGAAAATATAAAGAACCTTGATTCCTATATATGCTTTAAACTTTGGGTGTTGAAAGAATGTTTTTAGATAAGATAGGATTTCTTAGGTGAAAATGCACTTTTTTTTTATTTTCCTGTGCTAAACTGATGCCTACAAATAAAATTGCCAAAGCAGTTGTAGAGAATTAAATAATAAAATTAAGTATTAGAAATAGCTTTCAGGTGTGTAACAGAATATGTTCCAAACGTTTCGCAACCTCTCTGTGGAAGTATTTGTGATCTCTCTCTTTCAGCACCACATTAGGAAATTAATCTTCCTGGGCTCAGTACATCCAGAGGGCTGATATTTAGCTAAATGTAAATTTAGTGCAGAGGAAGCCTAGAGAAACTCCTCTGCAGCTTAAACATGACTTAAACTCAGTGCTTATCTATTATCACTTTAATAATTAACAGTTTTTAGTTTTAAAAAATTGAAAAACTTCTGAAATGCATTGTTACACTTTGCGGTATAAAATGCTTATTAATCCATGTTAGTAAAAGTTACTGCAAAATCTTTTCATGAAATTGGTATATGGGTGCCTGAGAGTAAATTTTGAAGTCTTAGAAAATCAGTAACATGTCTTGCCTTATTTTTTAGAAACATATACATGCTTATATACACAAATTTGATTATTTTAATTATTTTTAATGGGACCTGCCTAGAATATGATGCTGATCACCAGCAGTCACCTGTGCCCAGTGATTTCCAGAGCTGAGCTCTGTCATAGTTCTCCATCCCACGTGGGACTAATGACTGGCAAATCTCTGATCTAGATCCTGGTTTATTGTTTTCTTGGTTGTACCAAACTGTGGTATTTGAAGTAAGTTTTACCTTCTTTGCAGCATCTTGCTAAAGCTCTGCTTCCATAAAGTCTAATGATGTGCCAAAACTGTGTTGGGTGGTCTGTAGGAGTGCAAATGAAAATAGTGGGGTGATGTTAAGCAAATGAAAACATAGGCATATTACTGGGAAATGCTTTCTGATAAGGAAATTTGTTTTACTGCCCAGGTGTTTTCTGGTGGAATTGGTGGCAGCCCTATTGTGCCCTTTGCTTTGAAAGGGACTGGAATGAAAAATGCACTGTAATTATCTGTATTGCCAGTGTAGTACATTTGATGACTTAACAAGGTGTTTGATTCACCTGTTATTCAGGTAATGAGCAAAGAGGTTCCTTCCATGAACTGTAAAAGGATGTTACACCTACTCCTGCACTGCTTTGATGGAATGAAACCAAACCTGTATCTTCATATAATTTAAAAAGTGTTTATAATAGTCACTATATAATAATGATGTTTATGTAAGGTTTATGTAAGGGATGTAAGGTTTATGTAAGGGATGAGTGCTGGTGGTTTGGGTTTTGAATGGATGGAAAACTTCCCCAAGTCACGAAGAATTCCTGTCTGATTTAAAGGGAGCACTGTGTAACATGTTTGTTTTGTAGTGCCCTGTCTGCCTGTAATTCTTAGAAGTAGGAAAATAAGAAAAATAATTTATCTTAAGGAATGTTCATAAGGGTTTTACTACCTATTTATCTTGAAGTGTTGGTCGGGAGAGATAGTGATGCCTGAGCTTTAGAAACACTGGTTCTGGCTGTGCCTCAGGATGTGCAGCTGAGCCTGAGAAGCTGTGCCTTTAAAAATCCCCATGCCTTTGGTGAAAATCCCGATGGGTTCAGTGAAAATCCCGATGTGTTTTTGTGAGAATCCCGGCGCACTGGGTGAAAATCCCGGCGTGTTTGCGATTTACCTCCCTCAGGACAGGTGGGAGCCGTGTCTGGGGTGCCTGGCGTGTCGGGAAGGACCCTGGAATAACAATGTCTGCGGAGCACAGTGGGAATTGTGTGCGGATCCAGCTGCAGCCCCGGCCGGGCCACACACACACACGGAGACCCCGGCGAGGCTGGTCCAGCTCAGCTGCTGCCACCTAAACAAACACCGGCCGCAGAGGCAGTGATTTAGTGCTTGATCTAAGTAGGTGACCACTGGGAAGTAAATCTTTCCAAGTGCTTCAGCGAGTCACTCCACATATAATAAATAATGGAAATCCGGCAAGCTCTTTCTTTTTTTTTTCTTTTCTTCAGGGCTGGCAATTAAATAGACTAAATAGCCTTTGATAAACAATTATTTGAGTGCTAGCAGTCTCTTTTTTTACAGTAATGTGACAGGCTCTGGGTTTTTTTTTTTTTCCCTTGCCTTTTGCTTAAGTTTGAAAACAGGGAGGGTAAGAGCTTAACAAATTCCACCTTAGATGCAGCACTGTTGCTAATTAGGATGGTGGAAGAGATGCTGTTATTTGTCTCCCCCATTTCCTGTGGCTGCATTTCTCTGGTCAGGCTGTGAGTTCATTATAAGTTTAGTAAAAGTTGAAAAAAAAAAGCTGGAGAAGCTTGTGCTAACCAAAACTTTTCACAGCATACTAACTGAGAGAAATGCAGTTGGTAAAGCTCTTTGTGCTGTCCAAACTATCTTGGTTCAAGGTCTGAGTAGCTACTTTGCTACAAACCACTGAGGATGTGTTGTTTGGTTAGCAAAGGTCACTGAGAGTTCAGGTTGTTTCCCAGGCAATTCCACCAGCTGAGGAGAGAGGAAGATGAAATGATTAATCCCTGGGTCAGTGTGAAAGTAATGACTCTCATATCACTTCTGTCACTTAACGTCTATGTACTTCAGGACCCGAGAGTGGACACTTGAATGGATTTCTTGGAAGCCCATTTTAGAAATAGCTGGCTTCTGATGTGCCTTATGTAATAGAAACATTAAGTGTTATCTTGTAAGTAATCTCAGAATTCTGAGTGCCACATGATTTTCCCCATCTCACCTCGGGTGTTCCTTCAGGTATTTCAAGTACACTGGAAATGCACTGCATCGTTTCTGTAGCCTTAAGGTAAGAAAAACAATTTCTGAAAATGATTCCCTATTAGTATACCTATCTATATATACTAATATCTATACTATACTAATATATATCTATATCTATACTAATATATACTATATCTAATATAGTATATATTAGATACCATATTAGTAGGTGTGCAATTCACCTACAAGCTGTATCTGTACAAGGTGTGACAGAAGTCCTGGTGAGCTATTTTCCTTGCTTAGCTATTAGATTATGTATTTGATTGCTGCTTCTGATAAGCAGTTGTTTGGAGAAATTAATTTAAAATACTGGCAATTTATGCCTTTAAAACTGGTATTGTTGAAAAAGAACACTGTGATGTATAAATTCTCTTCATTTTTTCTCAACCTGTTAGGATCTGTGTATTTCACTAGATCTATCCAGTTGGAGAAAAATGGTAGTTTAAGTGCATTAAGGTGTACTGTAAATTACACCATAAAGGACATCTTTGTATTTCTTGAGTACAATGAGAATCTAAACATATTTCAAGTATACTTAACGTGTTCATAAAATAACAGATTTGGATTTGTGCAAGAAAAATTGTCAGTTATTCTTTCTCCCTCTTGGTATTATTGTGTCATCTCCCCTCCCTTCCTCTCCTCTGAATTTTTTCAGATTTTCCCTTTTTGGAATACCTGCTGAGCATTTCAAATCCCTATGTGGACATCAAGGCTTGCTTTCATTTGCAAATGCTTTCCTTTTAGGAGGAAGAAATCTTTAAATCACGGAATATTGGCAAGCTTTAGTTTCCCAAACACAAATTACAGAGGACAGTAGGTGCTCTGGAAAAGAGATTACTGTGTGTGGGCTCTAAACCTGCACTGCAAGACCCCAGTCCTGTATTTTCTGTGAGGATGAGCAGCAGCCAGGGCGTGGAAACCAATGGGAATCTCCCCAGTGGTTTCTCTTCAGAAACTCTCTCACCTCTCACAGCTCCAGAGGAAGCATTCATCTTTCTACCTGCAAAGGCACAGGAGAGCTCTCAACCTCATGTTAACTCTTGGGTTCACTAAAATAACACCTTTTCCACTATATAATATTGAATGGATATGTTTAAACTTAGAGTAACTTCAACACC